AGCCCTCAACTTCACCTTAACGGACAACTTGGGTAAATATTTGGGAGTGCCAGTAACTCATGGTCGTGTGACCAGAGAGATGTTCAACCATATTTTGGAAAAAACGGAGTCCCGACTAGCCGGATGGCGAATGAAATCCCTATCATTAGCAGGAAGAGTTTCCCTTACTCAGTCAGTACTTAACGCGATGCCTATCTACTCTATGCAAACTGCTTACCTACCGGGGTCTATCACAAACGGGCTTGAAAGAAGGAGCCGGGCGTTCGTGTGGGGCGGCTCTGAGGGACGGAGAAAGATACATCTTGTAGCGTGGAAGGAGGTATGTAAACCCAGAGATGCGGGAGGCTTGGGAATCAAGGATCTCCGACGTATGAATTCGGCTATGCTAATGAAAATGGGATGGGAACTATTAACAAATCCAACGCCTCTTTGGGTGAAAGTATTTACGGCCAAATATAACCTAAAACCATCGACCGAGCTGGGTTCATTTCCAGTGAGACAGGGATCGAGCTTTTTTCGAGCAATTAGCAAAATCTGGACCAAGGTAGTTGCCGATGTGCGTTGGGTACTAGGCAATGGTGCGACGATTAGGTTCTGGCTTGACTCCTGGCTCGGTACCTTTGGCCCATTGGTGCGGTACGTTACTTCCCAAAATCATGCGATCGATGTGAGCTCGAGAGTAGCAGATTTTGTGGACGATTATGGCCGATGGAAGTGGGATTATTTTCATGGAACTCTCCCTGCCTCCATAATTCTATTTATTGCAGGCACACTTCCACCACATGATGAGGCGGGGGAGGATCGCGTTATTTGGGGCTTATCGGATGACGGGAAGTTCTCAACGAAATCAGCATACAGAGCCTTATCCCGAGTGGAGAGAGACCCCGACCAACCATTATGGAAGCTCATTTGGCGGGCACCGACACCTCAACAAACCCGTTCTCTCTTATGGTTAGTCGCCCAAGAACGAATTCTCACAAACGCTGAACGCAAGAGGAGGCATATAGCGAGCAATGATAACTGTGATTTCTGTGGGGACAGCGAGTCCGTTATCCACGTGTTACGGGATTGCCCGTACGTCAAGCCTCTATGGACCCGTCTACTGCCGGCAGATCATGATGTAACTTTCTTCCAACAACCGCTCAAAATATGGTTGCGTAAGAACCTCGTGCAGAGAAGGAGAAGTGCGAATGTGAACTGGAGCTGTATCTTCTCCATTACGGTATGGAAGTCCTGGGAATGGCGAAATGCACGGATTTTCGAAAATAAGACTCTACCAACTGAAACTAAGAGGACTGAGGTACTGGAACTAGCTGCAAATTTTTTGCGAGCAGAAAAAGCGTATATGAGGGCTGGTGCTAAGTTGCATGTTACGCGCATGATCCATTGGGCCCCCCCGGACCCGGGGTGGGTTAAAGTTAACACGGATGGGGCCTTCAATCACCATTCGGGGTTGAGTAGCGCGGGTGGTTTGATTAGAAATGAAATGGGTGGATGGATCGAGGGATTTCTTATGAATATTGGGCATTGTACCATCACGGGAGCCGAGCTCTGGGGGCTCCTCCAAGGATTACAGCTAGCGTGGGATTTGGGACACCGTCGAGTGATCGCTGAAATCGATAGCCTATGCGTGGCAAATATGGTCCGTAACAAGGATGAGATTAGTGGAACCCATGGGCCGATGATTAGAGCTATCCGGGACCTGATCCAGAGAGATTGGATCGTGAGATTACAACATGTACATCGAGAAGCAAATTTCGCAGCAGACTTCCTGACCGGGCTTGCCGCATCTTACCCGATTGGACTCCAACGAGTTACATCCCCCCTAGTGGTATGGGTGTTTGGTTAGATCATGATCTTATAGGGGTTTCATATCCTCGTCGAACACTAACCTAGGTTTAGGCCTCGGCCTCCTTCATTGTACCGAAAAAAGAAAAAAGATTACAAATCCCGACGGAATGGTTCTGTAACGGAACTGTATCATATATAGTAACATATATGATGAGTATGATGATTAATATAAGCATAAAATTAGACACATAACAATTATGCTCTTTTAAATTTATGTTATTGTATAAAATGACCACAAATTAACAAATTGAATTTTGAATATTTGGCCTAATTCGGTAAGTAGTTAGTGGATATCTATTTTTTTTTTTAATCGATTCGTTTATGTATTGTTATGAATATTATGCTCGATTTTTATTAATGGTTGATTATATTAAAGGTTATTACTAGATAAATTTACTGTATGGACCAATAAATTACTAAATATTTATTACAATTTAAACCTTTTTTGAACACATTACACAAATAATAAGTGACTATCAATATATGATGTTTCTTTTTTTTTTTT